TATATCCGATTCCCCCCACACTGCCTATTTCCCTTTTTCCAAATATAAACTCTGAATGTACGAAACCATTTTCTGTTATATTTGATGCATTCTCTGTTTTTCCTTTGTCCCTAGCAGGTTGTTGCCCTGGTTTGGGGTTGTTTGCATTCCCTCGTGGTGCGGGACGGGTTGTGTCTGTACCGTTGGGTTGTGCTAGAGAAGACGCTTTGCTGCTGTGCTCTGGTTTTGGATCTTTTCTGTTTTCTCTGGCCCAACAAAGTGCTCAAGTGCTGTGTTCTTCCCCCTGGCTTTAAAGTGAATATAAAGGATCGCGTTGCAGATTCCCTGTGTGATCATACGAGGGACAAGGTGAGACCTGCTGCAGGGGGACACCAGGTCCCCACTGGATGTGGCTTTGTGGACACTGCATGTCCGATGCCACCTCCTCTGTGGGGACCCCTCTGTCACCAGGGGCTCTCAGGGTGGTTCTTTTCCCCTGGTCCTTCCAAAAATCATCTTCTCTCCCAGCATAGGAAGAACCAGGAGAAAGGAGGGAAGCTGTTCCCTCTTTCCCCATGGCACTTGCCTGGGGCCCTCCTGCAACTCCCTGGCAAAGGGAGGGTAAAAAAGGTTTCCCTGTCCTATTCTGGAGCTCCAGCCTGCTTGGGGAGCAAAATAATGCTCAAAAGCTGCTTTTACCAGGGCAGTTTTGCAAAGCACCATCAGAGGGGAGGTGGCATAAGCTGTAAATAAGGGGGAAGGTGGTAAATGCTGGTTTATGTTGGTGCTGTGATGCTGGAGCCCCTCCAAGCCCTCTCCCTCCTCCAGCTGATTAAGGCCTGGATAAGGATCTTCCCACACCTATGGGCTCGGAGCCTGGTTTATATCTGCACAAGGGGGCTGCAATGCTGCTTTTGGACCCATTTTGGGTCTCCAGATGCCGTTGGAGAGGGATATTCTCCTCCCGTGTGGAGCCCTAATCTGGGGGATGTTTTAATCCCATTGGAGATGTCAGTGTAAGCTCGTGGCCTGCAGGAACCTGCAATGAGCTTAGGGGAGGCAGCACCCAAGCACCACTCCTAGGGTTCTGCTGCCTTTAAGAACGAATTATTGTGGTCTCTAACTCATTTTGCTTTATTTTTTAAGATATATTTTCCCCCCGGTCTATTTGTCATCCTGGCGTTCTCTGTGTAGAAATAGAAAAACTATTTTGGCTTTGGAGATACTGAAATACATTTATTTTGTGGTAAGAGACAATCTCGTTTGGAAGCTGCTCCGTGTTGTACGTAAATGTGGAGGGGGAGAATGGATGTTATTCACCAGCTAAAAATCCTCATGTGTTGTTGAGCTTTTAATGGGATTTACACAGGGCTCATGCCCCAAAACTCAGCCCTGCATCACTCGGGTGAGTCGTGTCCGTCTTCAAGTTGTCTCTGTTGCTCCTTGACCGTAACGGAAAAATAATGCAATAATAAAGAAGCAAAAAGAAAAGACTCGTTTGCTTCCACAAGCTGCTCCGCGGAGGGGCTGCATCGCGATGCCCTGGCAATTTTGCTGTGCTTGGGAGTTTTCTTGTTTAATTATTATAATTTTTAATGGTTCCCTCATCTTCATTGCTATTGTGGGGCAAGGAGGGCTCGCGATGGCTCAGTGAGACTGAGGGTTGCCCTGTGCATTGGGAAAACTTCCTGAATTGCAGGGATTTGCAAAATATAAAGGGGGGACATGAAATGTAGGAGCCTGTTTTGCTGTGCCAGGAGATAAAGGGGCCTTTGAGGCACTTTTGGCAGAGAGAGCAGAGAAGAGCTACAGTTTTTAGTTAGGTTTTATTACAATTTT